TCAGCCCCTCAATCCCATCCCCACCCCCTGACCGAGGACGGTCCACATGTGTGGGTCACAGGCAAGCACACAGGCGACCCACAGCGAAAGGAAAGGCAGGCGAGAACACGGCCTGGCCTCGTGATGTACCTTGTATTTACAGTTCACTACTTAATCAATAAAGATTTTCCTATTCAAAACAGACACAAAATCTCACTTCTCAAAAGAAACGCAACTTCCACCTCCTATGTGACCTGGACACTAGCTGGAGGTCGCACACCTCCGTGTCACACAAGGAGACACCGGCTACACAGTGAGGCACAACTAGTGTCACCCACTGTATTACCTGGTCCCGAGAAGGTCCAGCGAGGATGAAGGAAGATGCGGAAGGCCTAAGGCAGCTGCTGTTTACTCCTCGTCCAAGAAAGACTGCTGGCGCACGACTGAGCTAGAAAATAAAACCGCGTGTGCAGTCGTCCTGCCGGCAACTGTGGCTTCAAGTGAGAGTGAGAAACGTCAGTCTCTCGGAGGACCTCACCTCAGCACAAACCAGAGGAAATGCGCGCCCCTTTCATCCCTCGGGACACACAGAGGTACAGCTGCAAGTGTCTTCAGCCGTGACCGCGAAAAGGCCACAGTAAGCTCTCCCTCCCAAGTGCGCGCTGCTGTGTGTTTCTGGCTACCACGAGGTCTCACAAGGGGGCTCTCTTCAGGGAAGATGGGGCTTCTCGGCTGCAGCCTGACCGACGTTTTGAGCAGATTACTGTCTGGGTGGGGCTCCACCCTGGTGAGGATCCCCGCACTGGTGTGAGAACTGGAAACCGAGGCCCACAGGGGACAAAAGGTGAAGCCGGTGACAGAGGCCAGGGGGCTCCGAAGACAGCTGCGGCCAGCACCGCGCCAGCGCTGACCGCCTTCGCAGGGCCAGGAGCTTCAGATGCTCAGGCTCTACTGCCCGTGTTACCCGCCCCTTCCGGCCGCAGGCGCAGGGCAGCTGCACGCGGAGCAGGAAGCGCCGCTGGGGGGACGACCGCGCCGCCTGGGCAGACCAGAGCCCAGAGCGGCTGAGCAGTGTGCTGGGTGCTGAAGAGGAAAGCAGGCCGGGCGGGGAAGCGGGGCTCCAACGCAGAAAGAGAAAGGCAGGGCCCTGGGCAGAGGCCAACCTCCCACCCAAGGGAAACCCCTCAAACTGCCACGGAAAGCGCGGAGGAGGAAGGCAGGCAAGGTCGCCAGAGCAGAGCACGCGAGCACCTGGAACACTTCGCTGGCACCCGCTCGCTCCACGCAGACCGGACCCGGAAAAGCGCCTCTTCAAGGGGAGCAGACGGGCCACAGGGCCAGCGCTCTCCCACCAGCCACCCTGCAGAGGGCAAGGGTCAAGCCAGGACCTAGGGCACCCCGCAAGAGACAAAGGGCAGCCCTGGCGGAATCGGGGATCCCCAGAAGGGACGAGTCTCACATCCTTCAAGTTCCTTTCCAGGAGTAAGTTCAACAATTCAGATCCTCTCTGGTTTTCATTTCGTAAACCCTGGCTGTGTTTGCTATTTGAGGTCTCTGAGATCATTTAAAAAAAAAAAAAAAAGGGGGGGGGTAAAACAGAAAGAAAACTATGAGCTAAGTAAGACTACCTCTCATTCTTCAGCATTTCAGATAATACTAAAGTGATTTTTTCAATTGCCCATGATTTCTAAAGTCACTAGAAAGAACTAAGCGTGCTCGAAGTCAGGTCTGTGTCTCCTGTCTTCTCAGAAAGTTCCTGGGTGGAACAGAGTCTACAGAAACATCTGGGAAATTTTCCTTGCAAGTTTTCCTAGAAAGAAAAACGCTGTGTTAAGGGCAGCTCTGAATACAGCACGAAACGCTCAGGTCCGAGAGGGCGACAAATCACCCACAGGGACAGCCTGACCAACGAGAGGGGACGCCTGGAGTGACTAACCCGCTCTGTGTCACCCACTTCCAGACAGGCCTGGGGGCTGTGGTCTGAAGCACGGCCACCAGCTCCAGAACGGAGGTAAGTGCTGGCCGGCTCAGGCTGACGTGCCGAGCTGGGGACACCACAGCTTGCCCGACTCAGCGCTCACCTCTGTGAAGTCACCGGAGTGTGAACCAGTCCCAGCCAGTTTCACTCACTCATTCAGTAGCATTTGCTGAGCCACAACTGTCAGGCACTATTCCAGGTGCCTGGGAGAAGCACTGAAAGACAGACTGACACCCATAAGCTGCTTACATTCCAAATGCTGGAACTTATTACATAGTAAGTGTTTTCAAGCTAGTAGCTGTGAAAGTCACCCGGTACCAGACAAGCATTTACAAAGAAAGGAAAATGGAACAGGACAGTGAAAAACATCAGAGTACATCACACATGTGTTTCCTAAAATCCGCCTCCCGCACCGGTCCCCGTGTTTATGAGGCTCGGGAGCCAACGAGCAGGGCCACCCAGCCTGGGCTCGACGTGCCAAGAGCAGATGCCCCGGTTTACAAGCCGCCTTTCCTTCCACCACTGTCTCTCCCCCTCCCCTTCACTCTGACCAGTTCTTAACCGCCCGTCCATAACGCAACCTTACTACGCTCTCCTGCCCCATTGTGGCATTTTGGCCAAATATTAAAGAACAGACTTTTTCGGAGCAGTGTTCCCAGCCTTTCTGAGTAGATGCCCTTTTACACCCCTCCTCCTCATCTGATTAAGAAAGCACATCATGGCGAGAAGCCACATGAACTTTCATATGGATTCTTTTTTCCCCACCGTGTAGTTCAGGCTGGACTTGAACTCACTATGTAGCCCAGGCTGGCCTTGAACTGGCAGCGATCCTCCTGCCTCAGCCTCCCAAGTTCTGGGATTACAGGCGTGCACCACCATGCCAGGCTTACGTGGATTCCTAAGTACTAATCTTAAGAGCTTCTACACAGAAATACAAAGCACACAAACACTCAGAAGATACGTATTCACTCCCTCTGCGTTTGATGTGCAAACAGGGCTGCAGACCCCACATGCCCTGATGGACACCACGCACAAAGACTGGCAGTCACTTTCGGGGTCCCTAAGTGTACAGTATCTGGCTATTTGAGGCTCACCATGAAGCCAGGCGTGCGGGCGCACACCTGTAATCCGACCCTCTCAGTGAGGCTGGGGCAAGAAGACGCCAACTGTGAGGTCGCCCGGACCCCACCCCAAACCACCTGTTCTTACCTGATGGCTGCTAGTGGTGGTCTCCCCGTGTTTACTACTCACTCCCTCTCCTAACCCATGCAAACCACTAGGCACGAGCACTCACAGGTACACGGGACTTGGCTCTTAGTGGTGACTGTCCCTCTGCTCTTCCACAAAATTTTTAATCCCAGAATCCCCAGAGCCTTCAGAGTGCTACTGGAGCTGTAACGATAACTCTAAAACACTAACTCTTAACACTGCACTTTGCGGCAAAGGGGGACTGGGGACAGGGGCCGAGGTGACCAGGACGCGCGCTGGTCTGGGGGACCTCGGCGCCTGCCCTCACAGGACTTCAGCAGCTCTGACTTCCCAAAGGCTGTTCCCGCCTCGTGCAGGCACTGTTATGGGGGTCTGGTCCTGCCCCACCCCCATGTGTGCTGCTCTGGCCTCCGGGCCGGGCAGAGAGGAGCCCAGACCCCTGTATCACACATCCCCAGGTGGGCCACACAGGAAAGGCAGGAAAGTCGCAAAGAAGCAGGTCGGTGAAAGCTCCACTCCCCAGCAGACGCTGGCTGCTGTCCGGAGCCCTCACTTCCAGAGACCAGCTCTAGCCCCTGGGCTCTTTCAACATTTTCCCCCTCCTGGAAGTCCAAATCTCCATGGCAGAGAGGTGGCAACCAACTGCAATCTAGATTAGCAGAGCACTGGCCAGGCGTGGTGGCACACGCCTGTCATCCCAGCACTCGGGAGGCTGAGGCAGGAGGATCTTCGCAAGTTCAAGGCCAGCCTGGGCTACAAAGTGAGCTCAAGGCCAGCCTGAATTACACAGCGAGACCCTGTCTCTGTCTCTGTCTCTCTCTGTGTCTCTGTCTCTCTCTCTCACACACACACACACAAAGAGATTAGAGGAACACTACCTTAGCACACTCCCAATGGCCAGCAACGACACAAACCTCAAATACTTAAAACTGGGTTTCATGTGGACTCTACACCACTTGCTGTCTGCATTACCCATGTGCCATCTTTAAAGAGAAAAACACTTTTACAAATAGGGAAGAAAGGCTGGAGGGAGGTGGGGGAAGGGAAGAAAGAGCGAAGACTGTGTACAAATTTCCTGTGACGAATGTGACCGCCATGTACGTCAGAAATGCACAAATCAACATCAACTAAAAAGTGCAACCTAGTCTTCACTCGTTAACTACTTCTAAGAAAACCTTGTTGCCTCCCTGGCTGGCTACAGCGGAAGTCATTCCACCGCCTTCCGGCACTGGCGGTAAAATGCCGGCCTGCAAAGGAGCTGATAAAGAGGAGCCCGCCCTGACCGCGGCTCGGACTCCAGGACACTCTCAGCCCAAAGCCGGGATGACTGCTCCCACAGGCACGGTCGCTTCGAGGCTCCCTTCGCTAACGCAGCGCCCTGCCTCGGTACTTCTGTAAACTGCTCTCAGTCTCCCAGAGCAAAATCCAGGACATCTGGATCAGCCCTGTGCTCTGGGTGCATGGATCTTGTTTCTGCCGAAGACAAAGACGAAGGCGGTCTTCATAAACTGCACAGGCAACTAGGAACCATGGCCTTCCAATTTTCCTCTTCTGTGATACTGGCTAATAACGAGCTCACGGAACTCAGAGTGGTCAGAACAGCACAGACATGGCACTAACTTCAAAATCTAACTTCCCGGCACACATACACATACACCTGGCCAAATACTGAGCAAGCCGTCCTCTCTCCGCTTCAGACCTAGAACAGCTCTGCTAACTACTTACAACACTGCAAATGCTGGAAAATCTTACTCATTAGTAGCTTTAAAACCAGGTTAACCCCCCTTATGTCTAGGTTTTATGACAGCAACCTAATGCTACAGAAAGTAGTTACCGAATTTCGGAGTAGGTGATCCGGGTGGAGATGAATTCCCACTAGGGGACAGGTAGAGATAGCTTTTGTTCACTCCTGTGTCGAAGTCAAACGGGGACTGGTAGTCCTCACATAAGTCGGGGTCTCTGTGATCCATCCCAGGCAGAGGCAGAACGCATGGCTCTCGGGCCGCCTGAGCGCCCTCCGTGGCCTCGGGTCCCTCCGGCCTCACTCCCTCGGGCTCAGCAGGCTCGCCGAGCTAGCTTCCCGGCTCCGAGGCCCCGCCCCCGCGCTGGGCCCAGGTGTGGCTCCCGCAAGCAGGCCTTTTAATAAGTGACTTGGGGAGGGCTCCGCGCACCACCTGCTGCTCCGCTGGGTCAACAAGGAACAGCCTGGCAGGGGCGTGGGGCCGGCTTCCGCACACAAAGGCGGGCTGGGCTCTGGGCTCGCGGTGTCACTCAGCCCGAGCTTGACGGTATAAGAAACTACACCTTTTTAACGAGCCTGCTGACCACAACTACGGCAGGGGAGGGTTAACATTCTGGGACACGGAAGGATTATCGGCCAGTAATCTCCCGCAAGTGCCATCTGGGCGATTTTTTTTTCCACCGTGGATTTGCCATCGAATTGTGAAAGCCAAGCTTCCTGTTAGCAACCAGCTTTCTAAGTAAAACCTGACACAAAAATAAAGCTGTACTCCCATCATGATTTTATCCACAGTGGACTTTGCGCCGCCAGCATAAAATTTTTAATCGGACTTGTTCTTGCTTTCCTTTCTCTCTCCTCACTGTCAGGTAGGCGGTGCTTCACCTGCAAGAGCAGAGCCCATGGAGGTGCGGCTCCTCTGTGGCCTGCACGCCTGTGTGACCAGGGCCCCAGCTCTGCCCGTTCCACACTAAGCCTATTTGTCTTGGCACGGCCCCTAGGGCAGGGGCGGGGCAGCAGTTGGCTCATAAAACAGAATTTCCAACACCAAATCCATTTCCTTGGGTAGAAGTCTCTCAACAGAACCTCTGCAGCTTCCTGAGGGCCTCTGCTCATAGCACTGCAGCTCCCTGGCTTGTGGTAATCTCAAGAAGGTGAAAAAAAAAGGCCCCCAGGTGGCCCCTAGTGGGCAAGGGTCTTCACTGCATAACAGCAGAAGCGGAGTTCTCTCCTTGCAAATCCACCTGAGAAAAACAGAACTTGATACATTCTCCCTGAATTAGAAGCAAATATAATACCCAATGTATTTTAAGCATTAAAAAATTAGTGTCTAGTGTATAAAATATACATGCACCCAGGTAGTCTATATTCGTCTCAACTTGTGACTGATTTTTAATTTTTCTTTTAGTCACATGTTGTACTCTATGGCAAGTCTTTGTCTTATTTAAGTTTGTTTAAAACTGTATTTTTAACGAACAATGCTTTTTTCTCCTAAAAGATACTAGAACTTGAGCAACTGTAAATTTATATAAATATAAATTATGTTTAGAAATAGCATACATACTTTTATCATTACTTAAAAGAGTGAATTGTTGAGCTTCCTGGAAGCTATGGTATCTCTCACTCGAGGGGACACACACTGGAGTATGCCTCCGGCCTAGAGGTGGCTCAAGGGCCCCCGCTCTTATAGTTTAGATCTACAGTGTCCCCCAGAAGTCCCATGTGCTCAGAGGTGGAGCTTTTGTTTTTGTTTTTTTGCTTTTTTTTTGTCTGGTACGGGGAACCGAACTCACGACCTTGTGCTTGCCAGGCAGGCGCTTTGCCGCTGAGCTAAATCCCCAGCCCCGAGGTGGAGCTTTTGGAAGGTCACTGGGTGCTGGAGGTGCAGTCAACAGACTGACCCGCTCATGAGCTCCCGGCTGAACCTGCTGTTGGGGGGGGCCTGGTCAGAAGAGGCGGGTCACTGGGCTGTGATCTTTCAGAAGGCTGTGCCCTCGACCAGGCTTCTCCCCATCCTGCCTCCTGGCCGCCATGGGGTGAGCGTCTTTGCTCTGCCGCACCCCTCTGCCACGCCGTTCCTGCCTTCAGCCATCCACCGTGGACTGCACCCCCTGAAAACAGGGGCCAGGCAAACCTCTCCCCCTTTGCACTGCAGGCTCAGGTGCTCTGCCCCAGTAACGGCGCAGTGGGTCATGCACCGGCCCGCTCCCCAGCCCGTATTCGGTCGCTGCACACCAGCAGGAAGGGCACTGCTCTGTTACCTCCCTCGTCCCTCCTCCTGGAGCCACAGCCCTTGGAAGGCGAGTAATTCCGTCACAGACACGATGCAAACCACAGCCGCCTGCACACCTCGCATCGCCCCACACCCTGGCCTGCAGTGCCGCAGCCACGTGCGCGCATCACCTGCGTGCTGTCCCTCCTCGGCCAGTCACGCACCCCTCAAGACGCAGACAGCAACGCCACCCTCCTCACAGCCCTCCCGGGTCTGCCCCTCCCCTCCCAGCAGCGGCACCCGGGCGTGAAGTGCCATTTGCCAGCTGCCTGTGTTCCCTCCACGTCAGGCGGTACAGCTGAGCTAGGCCGGGACTGCAGTCAGCAAGGAAGGAGGGAGGCCGGGCTTACTCCCCAGCGAAAGGCTCGAGAGGGCCAGGAATGGCTGCGAGTCCCACTCCACTGACAGGCATCAGCTTAGGGCTGCGCGGAACAGCCCAGCTCCCGCAGCCAACTCTTGGTCTCCACAGCGTCAGCCAGAGCACCTCCAGACACCGCAGCCGTGAGAAAAGTGACAACACCGCCAGGCCCGGGAAAGGCCGAGGTGGACTCAGGAATGGCAGAAACCCAGGTAACTCAAGGTTCAAGTGCAAAGGAGAAGCGCATCAAAAAAAATTCAAAATGGAAATGTAACTTGGGAACAGACCACCGAAGACCCTGAGTGACGAAAGGTTACATTCCATGTACTGGGGCGGGGAAAGGTGGGAGCCAGAGGGTTTTGAGCCAGGCAGGGGCAGGATAAAAAGCAGACGTGAGGGCCGGCGTGCGATTCACTGTAGAGCACTGCCCGCAGCACGGAGTCCTGAGTCTGATCCCCGGGCATCGCAAAAACAAGCGATTTAAAACGCAAACATCATAAAGGTGACTCTGGAAGTGGAGCACAGAACAGTACGGGGAGAGAGACGTTAACACAGCAGGGACTCTGAAAGAGAATCCCAGACAAACCCAGGCGAAAAGAAGGGAAGCCTCTGGCTCTCCGATTTCCTGCGTGGAATACTCAGCCCAAGGAACACCAGTTAGATTCCGTCCCGCTGTTGCAAAACCACTTCAAGATCAACGTGCACAAGCCTGCGTTCACTGCTCTCCACAGCGCTCACCTCTCTGCGGCCGTCGGCCCAAGCTTCCAGGCCTCAAAGTAGCCATACGTGTGCGTCTCTCAGCTGAGCTCTGGACGCTGACCTGGAGGGGCTCAGGGACCCCCCACCTGGATGGCACAGAAGCGGCAGACAGGCGAGGGAGGGGCGGCAGCATTTGAGCCCCTGGCCCAGCTGGCCTGGGCTCCCAGTTAGAAAGCCCTGCGCTTTCTATCTCCCTTCGGGTTCAAGTCCATCCGTTCCACAGAACGAGTCTCAGGCCGCCCCCTTTCCAGTCCTACTTCCCACTATTCCCACGCGTCTGCGGTCAAACTTGATTTGCCTGCTTCCTGAGCACATCCTCAATCTGTCCTAGGCCGTTTTTTCCAACTAGTCTCCTGTCTCTATATTTTTACCTGTAAAATCCCTGCCTACTCATCAAAGTCTACTTAATATGGGACATTCACTCTTAGATGCTACCCGATATGGAAAAAGCTTCACAAAATTCACTATTAAAAGTGGATTATTGCCAGGCCTGGTGGGGCACACCTGTAATCCCAGCACTAGGGATGCTGAGACAGGAGGATCATTGCGAGTTCGAGGCCAGCCTGAACTACATAGTGAGATGCTGTCTCAAGAAAAAAAAAAAAATGGATTATTTAAATGCTTAAAAGAACATTCATGTAATAGAAAATATGCAGCTATTATGATGATGTAGAAATATCCAATTTTTAACATGGGAACATATTCTTGATATATTTAGGTAAATAAAACAGCTCAAAAGCAGGTTGCGTTGGATGATCTATATTTGTATAGTAACTAAAGAGAGATCAACCAAACAAAACAAAGGGAATGGGCAGAAAGAGAACTCCTTGTCCCTTCAGCCCAGAAAAGGGAATCATGCGCTCCAGAGCCAGCAGAGGGCGGCCACAGGCAGCGTGATCACCCGGCAGAGTGCAGAACACATAGAAATGATAGCAGACACACGAACGACTGCAAAAAAATCAAGCTTCCCTCTGCCTATTAATACATCACTCAAATGTATCAGCAAACATTCTCCCCAAATCTGAAATACATTTAAGGGAAGTTCGACATAAAAGCTCTACAACACGCAAAACTTACTCGCTGGGCCCTGAAGTGGATCTCAAAGTCAGACAAGGCAGCCACCAAGAGGACAGGCAGGCTGAAGGGGACGTGGATATGCCACCATGACGCTGAGCCAGCTTGATGGGGTTCCAACTGCCAAAACGGAACAGCTGGGCCACTGAAATCACTGGGCATGCAACAAGTTATACCCCACTGAGAAATCACCCAGGAGTCCAGAGAAGTAAGAAACAAACAGAGAGGGAAAGGAAGACTTCTAATTTCAGAAGAATGCCATGCTGGCCATCACACGAAGAGTCACACTGCCAACCTAGGAGAAACGGTGACGAAGAATGGGATACTTACACGGCTTAAAGGGCCCCCCACGCACACAGATTGATTACTTGTCGGAAGGGAAAACAGGCTAGCAATACAGTGGGGAAGAGGACCACCCCCGACTGGGTGATCAGAGCCGCCATCACCCAGGGAGAGGCAAGTGGACGTGTGTCCTCAGCGACACCACACGCAAGTGCGAACCGCAGTCATTACGGAGGGAACAGCAGCAAATCCAAAGTGACAGCCGTTTTATTCTTTAAAAGGGGAGAGCCGGGCGTGGTGGCACACGCCTGTAATCCCAGCACTCGGGAGGCTGTAGCAGGAGGACTGTTTCGAGATCAAGACCAGCCTAGGCTACAAAGTGTGCTCAAGGCCAGCCTGAACTGCATAGCACGACCCTGTCTCTAAAAGACAAAAAAAGGGGCGGGGGGTAGCTACATTCTTCAAAAATATCAACTTCATTAAAAAACAAAGACTGTGAAAAGGATTCATATAAAAATTTTAAAAGGCGATTTTAGAAAACAGGTGACAACTAAAACTCCAATATTTAATCCTACATTTGGTCTAATACTA